GCGTACGGAGCGCGATGCATATCCAGTGTCCGGTTTTCTTGAGCGCTTGCGCAATGGAAATCCAGGTGCAGTGCGAGACTACTGGCCCGTCTGGAGAGATAGCGAGTGGCACCTCGGGCTTGAGGGAAAGTATACGAATACTCGGACTCGCATCTATCACGAAGCTTGGAGCGCTATAAAAGGCATGCTAAAGGATCATCCGCAGATGTCTTCGTATCAGAATCCGATCTTACTGGCCGTTTCGAGGATGCAGATACATGTTAACACACGGTTGAGCACCAATTATAAGTTCAAGTGCGTAGCGCAGGAGTGGGATCGGCTTGTAGACTCGCGTTTCGTCAAGCCGGCGTCTTTCCAGGTCGTCTTTGAGACGGTCATTGGCACAACGCCAGGGAGTGTTGTGGAGGATAAGCCCGTAGTGACGACTTTCATCGCGGATGAGAAGGGCAAGCAAATCAAAAGACTGGCAGATTGCGAGGAAGATGAAGGCGAGGATGCGCATCGTAGCAAGCGTATGATGATGTCGATTGCCGGTGGCTATATTTCAGACGCATAGGCTCGTTCCGGTGCGTGACCTTGGCCAGATGAGTCGGCCGAGAGATCGAACAGAATGAATAATACAGAAAGCCACAATAAAAGACGAAAGCAGGCTACCTATTTCACACGGTAGTGCCAGAACTTCATAAAAAACTGTCTGAGCTTACATTACAACGCCAATCAATGCAATGTTCCGGCTATGCTACCCAAAAAGCAATAGCGATAGTGACGCATTTCTTCGTCCATGCCGGGTATCATATAAGATGACAATACTAATAGCAGTGTGACCTTACTCATCTCGTTCTTTATTCTCAACTACTGGCTTCAACATCATGCTTAGCCTGTTTTTATCTCGACTTCGGCCGCCTAAAGGGATGCGCCTCCGTATTAAACACCCAGTCGTCTAAGCTGATCATATCTGGTGTACTGAAGATGAGATAAAAATACTTCAGTGTTTCCGCTGTCCAGAAGCTCTCCATCTTGTTCTCGATATTGTCTTCGTGCGTGTATGGTACATCACCTACACCTGGGACAGACTTGTAACCTCGGCCTGGGGCTTTCGATGCTACAAACGTAACGTCTCTGACTTGTCCGTTCGCGTAAGGCGTTCGAGTTGCAGCAACAATGCTAGTGAACATGTCCCATGCGTCGTCCAGATATTGACGGTCACCAGTGATGCGATACATGATGAAGACAGACTCGATGGCTTCGGGTCTGAGCAGGTATCGTTTGTCGCGGATGTTGGTGAAGCCAGGTGGGATCTTGTACTTTTCTACTGCGTCATTGAAATGAGCAACATATTTGCTGCTGTAGTGATGCATTGCACCCACTTCCCAAGCCGTTTGGTTCCAGGGACAAGATTTACGAGAATCGCAGGGCACGATATCGAACGTTTCTGGCATAATACCCGTGGGTGTGGCGGAGTAGGCGTAAATACACCCCTTGGTGAGCTTCGCACCGAGATCCACGTGGTCAGGATCAGAGAAGAGGCGACCTGCTAAGCCAAACATGCCGCCAATGAAGCATGTCAGGTGCTGCATAGTTGGATCTAGCCTGGCATCTTCGCCGTGGGTGAAGACATCCCCACACAGCAGTAGGTCTTCTCCGTGAGCGCTGTCAGGCACCATGGGCCGGAAAAGCATGTACGCGTCAATCATTTCAGCTGAGTCTCGGTACATCTTCTCGTACGCAGGTTCCACGCCGCCGAGCAACGCATGCATCTTGGGGAAGTATTCGTACGTGCTGTCAGCAAGCGCACCGATCGAAAAAAAGCGTGATTGGTTGAATTCTTCTTTCGCGGCGTTCACCATAGTTGGCCACAGACCAGGTAGCCTAGTATTGTCTTGCGCGCGGTCCATCATGATAGTGATCCTCGCGACTGCATCGTAATATTTTGGCTCTGACGTGACCTGGGCAAGACGCGTAAACTCCATGGTCAAGCTTCCAAGACAGGCAAAGCAGATATTGCTCTCGGCAGTAAAGGCCGTCCTTCCTATCGCCTTGGTGTTCTCTACATGCAGCCAGCCAAGAGGTGTGTTGTTGGTTGTGTCAAATGCACGATACAGCATCTCTCCGAGTTGTATCACTTTCTTAAGCAAGATCGGCTTGCCGCTCATGTCGTATGCACTCAACAGCCCACCCAGGTATCTGATGGTCGTCTCGAAGACGCTCACAGTGGTAAGGTTGGTCTTACCGAAGTCAATGGCTGCGACAGCCTCCACGGCCTCATCAAATTCGTCTCTGAGGCCCATGATCCAGAGCGTGTCTAGTGAATCGACCAGAGTGGCACCCCAGCCGCCAAACGACTCTTCACCCTCCGCTGTTACAGGCCGAAGCTCATCTTGTGCCCAAGCAAATTCCCTATAGCTGTCCCAGCTATGCTTGAATTCGTCCCGTACGGCGACTCTGCGTTTCTCTCTCTGTTTTCTTTGCGAACTCGTCTCGGGAAAGTGCTCGGACTGGACTCGAGGGAGTTTGTGCGGAGCGGTCGTCGGTAGCGGTATATAGGATGCGATCTTGTTCACGAAGGGCGCTTCCCGCCAATCATAGGATTGCTCTGATTTGAGGAAGGCGAGACTTGATCCGTCGTGCATGTATGCTTCGTGCTCTCTAAACGGAACGGCGAATACATCGATGGGCTGCGCGTACAACCAGTAATACCCGCCGAAAGCGACAGCCGAAAGAAGCGCATACACCAGGGACCGTTTGTGTTGCTTCGACATAGGCCGGCGATATGGGGTCCCACGGGGGACTTTGATCCTACGCATTGTGAGATGAATGCTGCGACTTATACTCTCCCATGGAGAATACAATTGGAGAAATGATGTCGCAAAAAAGAAGCAAACAGCACCGCCGAGCAGGTGAGGTTGCGAAGTATTCCAACTAAGGTATCATGTAATGTAAAAAGAAAAGATGTTAGTTGTGGTAGTGCTACCAGAGAGTATGTCGTTCATGAAACCGCCATGTCGACGCTCAGGACACCTCTCCAGTGAGGGATGTAACGGCAGTGACCCATCTGCCAAGGCAAGACCCATTGCCGATCAAACAGAAGCTACAGGTCGAATCACTTCCGGTAACCGTAGCGCCAGGAGTCACTATCGCGCGTGTCGGTGAAATATACGAAGGTGCGCACAAGCGACGGTGTACTTTGATTGATTGAGGGACGCGCATGTGTCCAGTTGTTCCGGGGACGCGCTAGGGACGCGCTCGTGCGTGTTGGCTGGGCACTTTGTGAGGCATACACGGAAAACCCTAAACAGACATAGAATTAATATGTCCTCTATTGCAGTCTACGTTAGCTTATAGCAAGAAAATCAGCTAAGCTTAACAGCGTTGTAGTCTTCTATGCTATCGATCTGTGCCAGCAGAGAGGTGTTCAGTTTCTCCCTTGAACAGGGTGCTTGCGTCCGTGGCGCAAGCGCAATACATCAAGCCACCTTTACCAACGCCCTGCTTCTTGAGCCAGTACTTCGACATCGAAATCTGCCTGTGTCTGGCTGGATCGACCATGAAACCATTTGATCCGCAAGCACGCTCAGAAGCGGAGATGATCCGCATGGGAAACCCCTCGGCGAAATTCAGTGTGAACCCTGGAACCGGGGCGGAACAGAGCACACCTGTCTAATCATCTGCTGATCAGTACAAGTTGGATACTGCAAACACCTCCTCATTGTGTGTAGTTGGGAACCCAATCGACTATGCCAATCTCGCTGATCCCGAGACGCTTTGAATCTGAACATGTTCACGCAGCATACCCGCAGTTCCTGGAATAGGTGGCACCATCATACTAAGTACTTGACCACGAGTCTTCGATACACTCCGACCTTTTCTGGAAGATTTTGAATGAGAAGCACGTCGCGTGCGCATATATTACCAATACTCCCGCCCATACGACCCCTACGGATGAGCATTGTCTATCAGGGAAGAGGTGGAAAGAGAGCTCAATGAAGCAATCAAGAATCCTGATTCGAATAAGAAAGAGGAGGCTATCAAATTCGGTAGACTCGGTAGATTCTCGTTGGCCTTGCGTGCTATACGCTGCCTTGACTGACGAATTTACTTCCATGTGCTCTGTAATCGACGATACTGACTGCCATTATCGGGACGAGAACGAGCCAGATTAACGATCCTAAACAGAACTAGCTCTTGGCTTTAGAGGAAGACGACGACAACAGTGAAGATTCCGACGATGTAGACATTTCCAGCTTTGAACATGTGGATAGACAGAAGTTACGATAACAACAAAGAAGAACAAGATAGCGAAGAAGGAAGCGAAGACAGCGAAGACCACGTCGAAAGTGAGTATGGCGTCTCCTTGCCAGATGGAGTAAGCTACGCTGGGATTCCTGGTCTGAAGACGAATTCTAGTATTCTTATTGAAATCACGTACACCCACTAGATCAAGTATCTCACGACCTGAGCGGAGGGTGTATGAAGCCGCTTGTAGGGTGCGACTCTTCTCAAACGTGTACACATGCAGAATGACAAGAAGATTCCCGTTTTCGCAGAGCTCAAGTATTCTGCATGCATATCTCGCCCCTGGAGTTTAATCAAATATATCATTACTTAATCTCCATTCCATTCCATTCCGTCACTTCGTCTTTACATACATACATACACAATACACAGCACACAGCCTAGCCGTTCCGGTCCACCCTAGGGTGAAAGAAACTGAACAACCCGACACCATGAACCTTTTTCTAAAGCCTTCGTAGCACCCGGGTCTTTCTTCCATATGATGAACGCCAGCCTTATTGTACAAGTTGGGCAGAGCCCGCAGAGTGGTGATGAGGAGGTAGAGGAAGATACGCTAAGATCGCACTCGTGTAAATGCTGGACAAACGTCGAACGTAGTAGAAGTTGAGAAAAGATGGCTGCGTGCCTGTTTTTTGGAATAAGGCTCGGTGAGGCAGCATTTTGTGAGAGATCCATTTGCTTGGGGCAATCGCTCCTAGTTTAGGAGTTTAATCGACTGATTTTAGGTCAGGTTCGAAGAAGACTTTTCGTGTTATCTGGTAGGCTGTCAGCTTTTTACTTTGAATGAGCAGATTATGGTGCGACGTACCGCCCATCCTCCTGCTACAGAGGCGCAGATTCCTGAGCTGATAGCCATCTGCCTTGTCCCTCTTGTGCTCTTGAACAGCGCACCGCTCAAAGCGCCCGCCACCACGCTGTTGCTCATATCGTGCTTGCCCCGGTAGTACCCAATAGTGCTGTTCATGCCATTGTACACCATGGCAATCACACCCGCGCTGTTTCCCAAGAAAGGTCCTCGTCGTGTTATCGCGTTGAGCACACCGTTGATTCGCAACCGTGGCGCCATGCTAGGCGGGTTCTTTTGTAGTCCTTCAGCAAGCCCCCATGCTCCTCCAATAGTCAGCGCAGAGAGGTATGATACACCTGTGCCGTAACATAAGTCGTCTGACCAGCCGCGGGAAGGCAAAGCGGATTGTGCGCCAGGCAGGTCGGATAAGACGGAATCTTCTAGTGACAGGTAGTCGAGAGTGTCTTGGTTGAGGCCTGCGAGAGGATGTAGTTGCGAGGGGTCGAGGAGAAATTCTGAAGGATTTTGGATGGCCGTGTTGGGATCGAAGGGTGTGGGCTGGAAAGTGTCTTCTTTCACAAAGTCGGAATTTTGGGGCGAGGCGGATGCCGTGTCCTTGGACTTGCGTCCGGTGAGAGAGTCCCAGCTAGAGTACCAATTAGTATGGCTATGTTTTCGGGTGTACGGATTGGGAACAAGACATACATGCCCATGTCGAGGAGGCTAGGTGGTGATGGCGGAAAGAAATGACCAAGTGTTGCGCCTGATTGCCCACAGCCGAAGTGGTATTCCCCCCAGACGCCCGAAAACCTAAAACAGACAGGCCGAGCTAAAATAAACAAGCAAGTGACGCAGGTGGTGGATGCGCAAGCAGGAGGGGCGTGTGCTGGGGCGTTGGCGGTGATATGTCGCGAGTTGAAAGTTCTGAGCAACACATCAAATCAGTGACGACGCTTCCAGAAGGGTCCGTGCTTCCGAGCTCGGAAAGAAATGTCTGAATATCCTCACCCACTTCCGAACCCAAAAGCATCAACGGTAACAGAAAAATCAACCATGTCGCTACCAGAATTCAAGCAGAATTTCCTCAAGGACTGCGTGTCAGCCGGCGCGCTCAAGTTTGGCACCTTCACACTGAAGTCCAAGCGCATATCACCCTACTTCTTTAATGCGGGACTGTTTCACAGAGCCGACCTGCTACGCTCCATATCCTCAGCGTATGCGCACACTCTCAAGGCACATGGCGAGTCAGACCCTTCGTTCCAGTGGGACATTCTGTTCGGACCAGCGTACAAGGGAATTCCACTTGCAGCAGCATCAGTCGACAAGCTTGCAGACCTTGATCTCGCCAAGTACGGACAGAAGAGCTACAGCTTCAACCGTAAAGAAGCAAAGGACCACGGTGAAGGCGGAAACATTGTCGGTGCAAGTCTGAAGGGAAAGAAGATTGTTATCGTTGATGATGTCATTACCGCTGGTACTGCAATCAGGGAGGCTATTGATATCATCAAGAAGGAAGGTGGAGAGCTGGTCGGCATCATCGTTGCTTTTGACAGGCAAGAGAAGACACCTACTCCCAATGACGAGGATGGGAAGCCAGGACCAAGTGCGATTGGTGAGGTCAGGAAGCAATATGGCATTCCCGTTCTGGCTATCTTGACGCTGGATGATGTTGTTCAGTATTTGAGGAGCTTGGGTGGTGAAGAGGATCTGAAGAGGCTAGATGAGTATCGGGAGAAGTACAAGGCGAGCGATTAGAGCGCCCTAGATGAGTATCCACCAGGTTACGGTTATGGAGTACGGTTGATGGCGAATGCCGGCTGCGAAAACGCCGTCTAGGATGCAATTCAAGCTGCAAGCACTCCAATTTCACAACGTTCCTCCAGCCCCATGAAGCTGTGCCTGATCCTGAGCGTCAAGTGATACGTTCAAACCGAGCACTTTATCATTGATATTCATGAGAAGCAGCCTCGTCTGAAGTCACTAACGATAGCTATCGTCAAGCATGGAAAATCCATGTCATAGATGTCGTAGCCCGTTAAACCGCCCCGAACGCCAAATTGCAACGTCACTGAGCCATCACAAATCCCTTGAGCTTAAGCCTTCTTAGCAAACTCAACACGCAAGATGAGATGACCGAAACCGACTGAAACCTGTTAGCATCGTTCGATATCACAGACTTGTTCTGAAACTTACATCCATCCATCTTCTCACACGCCTTAGCAGCATCCGATCTGTCTGCGTAACTGACAAAGGCAAAGCCCTTCGCACGGCCAGTTTCCCTGTCCTTGGCCAAGAACACTCTCGTGACGTGTCCGTATCTGGAGAACATGTCGCGTAGATCCTGCTCCTCGGCGAATTCAGACACGTTGGTGACACGGAGGGTTGCGCTATCGTCCCGGTCGAACTTGCCGCCCATCTTCTCACCAGCACCAGCACGTCCACGCAGATGCGGGGGAACGTAGCCTCCAGAGCCAGTACCCAGGCTTCCTCCTGCTCCGACGCCGGGCGCGTCATCGGGCATATCTGCGGGCGCGACGTCGCCCTCGGGAGCCATGGTGTCCTTGAAAGGACATTTTGTGGTGAAATGGTCGCCCTGGCAAATACGACACTTGATCTTTGCATTCTTGAGTTCGGCCTTCTTCTTCGCCTCGTCGCCCTTGTCCTCGTTGCTGGCTTTCCAGTTCGATACCGGTCGGAAGGCGATGTTCTCAGCGACGGAGACGGTGTCCGTTTGCGGGCCCGCGGGCTTGCCCTTCTCTTGTCCGAACTTTGCCCATTGCTTTCGCTCAGCCACACGGGGGTTTACAATCTGCTTGACGACCGTCTTCTTGATGCGCCTGGTGGTCTTGTATTTCTTGCCGTCTTCGCCGATGCGGTAGGAGATGACTGTCTCTGTTCCGTCCTTGTTCTTGATGACTTGGTTGGGTGGGAGGGAGGTGAGGGACTCCTCGTCGTCTTCTTCCGCCCAGTCGGTGCGGCTACAGGATTAATGTCAGCTCACCAGATTCTATAGTAGGGCTGGTGTGTATGCGGAAGGCCGTCTTTTGATGGGCCATGGTCCGGGGGCGGCGGGCGCTCATGGGCAGAAATACGTGCGCGTAGACTCACCCTGCAGGTCTTGACATTTTGGCGGTTGTGGTTGCGTGTTGTGAATATTGCCGTCGGTCGTAGTCGGGGGGTCCCTTATGATATAGCAGAAACGAGAAGTGGCGGTAGCCTGTGGGGCAATTCCAAGGTTCAATGTGTGCGCTCCGCCGCCAAGATTTCGCGCTAATAGTTGCGACTCATCACTCCCTCTCGTCACCTGTATAAGCCATGGAATGCACAACAAGATTCGTTGTACAAATAATCTCTGCTGTCACACTTGCGCAGCTTTGCATATTCATCATGACATCAGCTGATAGTTCTATTCCGGTCTCACACAAGATACGCTTATGAGTCACAGTTGGAACTGGGAGCCACCATTAATAGAGCCCTAACCAAGATGAAGACATCGGCGCAGTAACAATAAGGTTGATTGACCAGATCAAGCATCCAAATACAGCTTAGGAATACCCAAAGTCCACCATTTCCCTGACCTCAAACAGCCGATGACTCGAGACCCGATTCTTCTACCCTTCAGAGCCCAGATTCCATTGCACCCTGCCTCTTCCAGGCCCCTGGAACTGCCCAACAGACATCGGCTTAGGTTGCTGGATAATATCGCTGTTGGTCCTCGGGACTGTCTGCACAAAAGCCTTCGGTGGGCTAGTAGCCGTCTGAAACGCTGTATCACTACTGCCTCTAGGAAGCTTGGGCTTTTGGATGTGGTGGTGTGAATAAGGCGTGTTGAAGTCATTGACGAAAGGAGTCTGCGATGGTGCCGAATTCGGGGGTGGTGGAAACTGTGGCGACTGCTGCACCAGCTGCGGTGAACCTTGCGTGTAGTCGATGAGGAGGCTGCTTCTCGTAAGTATGCCGATGCCGATATTGTGAAAAGAGTCTTACTCCTGTGGTTGAGCACTGCCTCTACGACTTGGCTGGACACTGCTTGCTACGCTACTATTTCCACCCGCTATGCTACCAGCTGCACTTCCGAACATTGCTGCATGGTGTGACTGTGGCGTGGCGGGCAACCAGCCACTACTCGTGATGCCCTCGGCATCCATAAGTCGTTGGAGCAGATCTTCGGTGATTACAAGCAAGTGCTCCAAGGCAGCGAGACGCGAGTTCTCCTTTGCAGAGCAACAATGCACGTACGATCTACTCGAAGGATTGTGTTCGACGATGCAAGCTCCAATTTTTCGTGAGGAAGTCGGGGCGAAACTTATCACGTCTAGACAACGATTCGGTCCATATATCGCGAGCGCGTTCGCTACATCAGGTCAGTTATACGGATCCAACAACGCGATGCTAAGGATAGTGCCAACCGAGTACTCTTGTCCGGGTGCTTTCCAAGGAATCTTCCGAGTCCTTGTCCTCCATGCGATGCAGAATTTGGCTCGCCGTTCGTTCTAGCGCCAGGCTCTCGTAACTGCCGCTCTTGCCGTGCTTCATTTCTTTCAGTGTCTCGATCATAGCGGTCAGCCGTCAAGACCCGAGAAAGGGTTGACTTCCTAGACCTGTTCGACTGTCCTGATGAGGATGCGTTGGAGTCGCCGGTATTTGTGCGCCTAAGTGGTCCAAATTTCTCGAATGCTGTCAGTTCTTTGGTGAAGTTTTTGAGAGACGATGTTCGGAGAAGATCTTTCTCTGAGTTTGTGCGACTCAAAGCTGGTGAAGCCCCAGCTGATCTTGATCCGTCAAGCTGACGAGAATCCCTCCGCCGGTGGAGCCGAAGCTGCTGAAGTCGCTCTTCTTGATGTGCTGCTTCCTTCGTACGTTGCTCTTGTCTGGCAAGGTAAACGTCCCGAACGCTACTGTATTTGTCGAGGCGATGGGGATTCTTGCTATGGTATGGATTGAGCTGAGGACCCAGTGCGATCTTCTCCGCAAGTGTTGGTGGGAGAGCCGGCTGCGAGTGTCTTCTTGGTCTAGTAGACGTTTGTGACGCGCTTGAAGTGCTCGACCTAATGGACGTTGGTCTATAACCGGATCCTGTGGAGTTAGCTCTCGCGAGGCCGGGTCGCCCGTATGGGGGATCCAGGATGTTTGTTTCCTGGATGGTTCCTAGCTTTAGGTTCTGCCGATATTGTTCTTGCCAATACCAGGCGGGCGGTGCGCAGATGCCACAGGTGAAGGGGAACGTTGTTACGTTTGCGGATTGACTCTAGTGAAAAGTTGGCGTCAGCTCCTATTCCAGGTCGTATTTCTTTTATTCCGGAGCCAAAGCCATACCTAACGTGCAGTTATCAGCTTCGAAGCCAACAGACTTTAGATGCAGATGCAGGTCTGTCACCGTATGGAGTAGGAACAGGAAGGGCTGTAAGCAGCGCAGTGTCCCGAGTGATGATGAATGTCGAGAAGTATCGTCAACAGCAGTGGGTCAAAGGATAGGATAAAGACAACACTATGGTAGGAGGTAACGGGTATGAGTCGAAGTGTCGGTGCTCAAATAGGATATTGTTTGATAGGCGCAAGGTTGTGTCGGTAAGCGATCAGCGATGAACCTGTATGGAGAATCTTGAGGAAGCTGGTATGGCGTTTGTTGTTTGCTGGGACAGCAGAAGCCCGTTGCTTCCCAATCTGCCATACATCAAGCACTCTTACCACCAAACAAGAAGGAAGTGCGTTCGTCAAATTTGTACTTAAATGAAGTAACGAACGTTATTACAGAGTATGGCAATCACAGATCGTGGCGCTTGCAAATGAGCATGTTCATAAAATAGACCGTGTTATGGTGCCGTCAAGTAAATGTGTTCGCAATGCTCCTTGCGACTAATGGAAGCCTGGAGTATCCAGTGGTCCAGCCGATGTTTCGATCATTCGCTGTTCAAATGTACAGCTTATCTGCTATTTCACAATACTGATATGGTGACTGCAATGAAGCAAGCCAATGATCACCCTGAACACTTACACAAACATGAGAATTGTAAAGTATAGAGATGAACGGTATCTAAGCATTTTGAACAATAACCCGCACTTTGTCCCACCGATGGTATCCTGCCCTTTCATATTCCGATCTTCCATGCAAATGCCCACACACAAACGCTTCAAGTACAATTATGCTATTCGATATACACTACACCACGCACCAAACATACGACTGTCCTACTGGCCTATGGAGGCGCTCAGCTTGCTCATTTGAAGTAGGAGCGCAGAATATCTTAGCTGCTCTTCAGTTTCTGGCGCGTTCACGTTTCGAAACAGAAGCTTTGGTTCGGAATCCAGCATCTAACCAGAGAACCTGAACCGCGAGGCTTCCAGTCTGCCGAGACCTTCACGGGGTGCCACATTGCGCCGGCGATAGCTAGTAGTGAAGTCCTGAAGAATGGTCCTGATCATTCTGACATCGCCAGTTTGGATACGCTGTCGGATATTGTTGAGGAATCGCTCACTCTCTTGAGGCGTGATGCTGCCCTGTGGTAGCATTCCAACGGTACTGGCAACCCATTGAGCGACTTGCTCAGGCATGAGCTCGAAGAGATCAAGGAGTACACCAGAAGAGTCGGCGAAGCAGCCTTCAGGGAAGCTGTACATCATTCCAGTCATGATACGCTGAACTAACTGAACGCCAGCACCAACAACGAGTTGCTTGACGCGGTTTCGCAGTTGCTCGGGGACGTCGTGACGGGTGTTGTCGAAGCTAGATGAGGGCGATGAGTTGCGACCGTAACCGAGCAAATCACGTAGGAAGTGGAGTACTGCGATAATAGGGTCTTCTTTAAGCAGTGTCAGAGAGCTGCAGGCTGCGAGAAGAACAGTGTCCATGAGTGGCGACATGATCGACTCTGAGGGGAAATAGAGTGCCATGTCGGCAGCAAGGCGGAAGTAGTCTTCGATAAGGTCTGGAAGCTCTTCGGGTGGCAGATCGCTCAGTATGCGCAGGAAGGTCTTCGCTTGCTGCTCATAGAACTGGTAAACATCATTCGCCAGACTTGGGTCAACGTCATCTACACCTTGTGAGAATTCCCGTACGATGGATGCAGTCGCCCAAAGGAAGCAGCCCTGCCTCGACTTATCGAAGCCCTCAATCAGCTTGGTTGCAAGATCAGGCAGGAGCGGGCGCATCGCTGTACGGTAGGAGAGCACCATGTATCGCCAGCACCGACATACACGCTCCAGGATAGGTATGCTTGTGTTGAAGTGTGTGATCATATTGGCAAGGGTAGGGAAGATCTCCTGGCAATATTTGACCGCTGGATGTTCCTGTCCAGGCGCAATCTCTGGTCTAACCATCTCGAAGAAAATGGTCAGTAGGTTGATCTTGTCGGCGATGAGCTTTTGGTCCGCCTCGTCCTTTGCTTGTCGCGCAATTTCGATCAAGTGGGCCATGACCGGGTCGAGATACAGCTTGAGTGTTGCCAAAAGCTGTTCGTTGGGTACCTTGGCGACTACTGAAGCAACACCTTCAGTGATCTCCTCTTGGCTGCTGATTGGTAATTTGTTCAGATTCTTTGCGTAGAACTGTTGCAAGGGGCCGACAAAGTTTACCAGCAGGCTTGCGCAGTCGTTGCAGAAGAACTTGAATGATAGCGCAGCGGCTCGAATAACGTCCTTGGTAGAATGGTCGAAGGCGGCCATGATGTAATCCAATTGCAGCTGTAGCGTATCAGGATGTTGTGCGGTCCATTCGGTATATCTTCCGAGGGCCATCACAGCTTGGAATCGCAGCTTGTGATGGTCGGGTATACCCGCGATGAGTGGGATCAGACGAGGCAGCATAATGTTCTCATCTGGAGGTACCATGCGACCCATAGCTCTGACAGCGAACAGGGGCGCTTCCAGTTTTTGCCACTCGGGCACATTGTTCGGACCAGCTTGAGCGCCGTAAGTCTGGACCCATTGCTGCATGAGATCATAGGGCTTTTGAAGACACTCCACGACACCCATAACCTCGCAGCAGTCCTTCAGCACATCGCCCATCTGATGACGGAACTCACGGAACTTTTCTTCCTGATCACGATCGCCTTCGAACAGATCCTTCTCATCACCAGTTTCTGGCTTGGGAAATTCGAGATGGCCGATCATGATGTCCACTAACTTGGAGTAGATGTCCATGCACTGGTTGCGTGCTTCGGCGTACTTGTCGATGGTGAGATACTGCTTCAGGTCGTACCAGAATTTGAAGGTATGAGATATGGCATCCCTCTCCTTGTCGAGCGCTGCCGTGGCGAGTATTGCTTGAACCAGGGCGCGGAAGTCAGTCGGTAGGCGCGCGATGAGAATGACCCACGATTCTCCTGCTTCAGCGAATATCCTGGCGATACCTTTGAATTTCTCAGAGTCTTCCTCTTGCGCCGCTTCAGCGAGCTTGGTCTGGAGGTTGATGACCTGGGGATAGAGAATCATTATCGAGTTGAGAGTCTCGTCGACATCTCTGGTCTCAGCAATAAGGGCGCTCAAGCACTCCACAGCGGCCTCGAATGGATCATCTAGGGACAGGTCTTCGACGATAATCTTGAGCAGAGGGGAGTTGATGATGGCATCCAGAGGTATCTCTCGTATCCAGGACGTGATACAGTTGAGCAACTGCGGGTTCTGAGCGGCAGCGGCTATAGAGGGTCAGTAGGAACGAGCTTGGCAAGGGGAAGTTTGAGCGTACGTGAAGAAGTGCCGTATCGGATGAGGAGTTCCAGGGCTTGTTGGGCGTTGTCGTCGATCAATTCGGTCGTCCTCATAGTCAACTCGTGTTCCTGACCACCACATATTAGACTACAACTCTACTATCATATGTCGACACCTTGGGGAATTGCCGTGGGCTGAAGACGGGGCGCGGCTCGTTCGGACGTACTGTGAGAGCGATCTTGCGTCCGTGTGTGACTTCTTCGGGGAGAACACGGAGAAAGTCCAAGACGCAAGGTAGCGTTGCTGGATCTGAACCGAGGGCGTTGACAACGTCTTTGAGGACATCCTTCCACTCGGTCATCTGTATGGCCAGATTCGCCAGACACACGCATAGCTGCAGACGTATGGGCTTGGGTCCAGCATGGAATATCGCCAGATTCCGCATGATGGACGCTCGGAGCTCTGGAAGCTGTGCGCGAGGCACTTGGTGGAGATCGTATACAATCTGGCACAGTCAGCATGTGTCCACGCTGCAGGAGCAACAACCCACCTTTCCCTTGAGTGTCGTGGCAGCAAAGAGCTTGGCGGCCGCGTCTGCTGAGTTTGCCTCTAGCATAGCCAGTGTGGTTGTCCATGCCTCTTCCTGTGACATATCAGCCCCTCACGCCTCGTGCAAATGTGCCTATGCTACATACCGACTTCTGGAACTGTTCCAAAAACTGATGTGCCTGCTCCTTCTGTGCGCGATCCGCCTGTGACGCCATGGTATTGTGCGCCGCCAGCACAGGGTCGAAGACCTGCTGTCCGTTGGCAGCCATGGTGAGGCAATTCGAGGAGGTAGTGGGGGGAGACGGATGCGGATACTGCTCGGAGCAAGGCGGCGGGGCGAGTGTTATATTGCGCGCATCAACTGACGGGTCAGGCGAGTGTAGACGACGGCAGGTGCAAGCGGTGGGGAGGGGACAAAGGCGGCAGTTGTGGTGGTGGTGGTGAGTTTGTTCGGAGACGGGCAGTTGCGTTCGGTCGCATAGTCAAAGTAGCACGAAGATCCCCACGTTGGTGCCAAGGCGTTTGTGACCGCTCAGGTCGCGCCAGAAATGTTCCTTCCACCACAGCTTCTCCCCCGAGCCTCTCCCCACATTGCGCCCCGACTCGGACCCTACCACTACCAGATACTACCGGAGACTCGCGATTAACCTCTCACAATGACTGGACGTGGTGGTCAGTATTCCTGCCTTGCTGCACAGGCATTAGCTAACTCGTCTTAGGCCGCGGCGGAGGAAAGGGTACGACCACTACCACATGCATGCGACGCGACAGCAGCTAATTGTGTCTTAGTTCTCCTTCCCCCCATCAACTTCATTTTCAAGCTTCTACAGTCACGAGCGACCATCTCGGTATGGTTGTACGAGAACTTGGGTATGCGCATTGAGGGAAAGCTTAGGGTACGACTGCCTAAATATCTCATCGCGACAGCTGCTAACAACTGCGCAGGGTTTTGACGAATTCATGAACCTCGTTATCGACGACGCCATCGAAGTCACTCTCGCCAAGAAAGACGCGCCAGAGGAAAGGCGCAAGGTCGGCCAGATCCTGCTCAAGGGCGACAACATTTCTCTCATCCAGCAGCTCCAATAAGCGTAAAAGCCTATTCACTCTCCGCATAGTCATAGAGACACACTATGGGCACAGCGCATATATCAGGCTTGGAGGGAGATGACGCCGCGTAACACGGACAATCTCGTTTGAAAGGTTCATGGGAGGATATTAAGATCCCACGCGACGGAGCTCGCCATCACCGGTGATCAAAGCGTCCAAACGGAAATCGGAGGAATCCATGGGAACCGACTCGTTTGGCGGCAGGAACTGCTCAGTTAACGAGAGGCCAACTTCAACTTGGTTAGTTAGCCCTCCAAATACACAATGCCAGTAGTTCTTACCGCGAAAAGGCATGCGCGAAACTTGGTGACAACGCGTCAAGAAATAGTCGTAGAAGCCTTTACCGTGACCCAGGCGGCCGAACTGCGAGTCGAAAGCCATACCCGGCATGACGATCAGATCGAGACCAGCACTCACACCTTCGGTCTCCCCATTCGTGATGCCGGTACCGCCAAAGCAATTTGCACGTGATGATATGGAATCTTTGCTTGGGGTGGGAATCCCCCATTTGTCAGATTCCAGTGACTCAAAGTCTTTCATCGACTGTAGCTCTACCATGTCCATGATGGATTTTGGTTGGCCTTGTTTGGGCGCGTCCAAAGTGTACGTGTAGGGAATGAAGACCTTCTTGCCCTCGTCTAGTGCATTGCGCACAATCTCGCTCGTGGATATTTCACCGCCTGGCATAGATAGGTAGACACTTATCGTGCGTGCAGCTTGGTACTCTGGCATGGACAGCAGAGTCTTGGTAGCAGTGGATGCTTTTTAGCATAAGTAGAAGCAGCTGCAACAACAGACACCATGACGTACATTGAGCAGCCGCAACGGCTTCGGGAAGTCCTTTGAGAATGCTCCTAATCCTGTTGCGCAATTCCTTCTTGACAGCTGCTAGTGACGCGGCCATAGCGTCGTTTAATTGCAAGCGTAACGGCGTTCCAGCGAGAGTACCGATGTTCCGGAAGTCGGATCTGGTGCTACAGTGCTGTGGCAAGATGGCAATAGTGAATCGTAGAGGCCGTGTTCTCAACAAACAACAAATCGTCTACAGAACCGTATAGCAAAGCAAGCGATGACGGGAATCGCTAAAAGATCCGCTGCGGGTGCGGGCGATGATGTCGGCCTTGTCCACCGGAAGCCGGTGCTGATCTGCAACTAGCCGCGTGATCCCTGTCGATTCGATCCAAACCAGGAGGCGGCGACACTCAAACATAGCCAAACATCCTCCCCTCAACAACCACCACCGTCCTCCTCACACCAACCTCCTGCCCTCGCGCACCCACGCTCGCTTTCGCACACCACCGACCATCCACACTCGTTCACGCATCCACACCACACCACACCACACCACACCAACCATGTTGTCACGGATAGCAGCGCTGCTGCTCTCAGGAGCCGCCATTCTGGGCGCGCAAGCCCAAACAGCCGCCCTTCCTGCAGAACTCGTCGGCACTTGGACGAGCAAGGCGAACTCAACCATGACCGGACCTGTATGCATCCACATGTCCATGTGCGCTCAGCGACGCGAGACTAACCACCCTCCAGGACTTCTACGACCCCGTAAATGAGAAATTCACCGAGCCCAAGCACACGGGCATCAGCTACTCCTTTACTGCGGATGGGCATTTTGAAGAGGCATACTACCGCGCTGTCGCAAACCGTACGTTAGCAGTAATCGCATCAATGCTGCCTTGCTGACAGCCATCACAGCAACAGATCCCAAATGCCCCAAGGGCATAATCCAATGGCAACACGGAACCTATGAGAAACTCGCAAACGGTTCTCTGGTCCTCAAGCCCATTAAGGTGGACGGCAGACAACTTTACTCCGACCCGTGCTTTTACAAGAACTCCGTCTACACACGATACAACGCGAGCGAACTATTTGATGTACGTTGAAATACCTTTTCTCGCGCTCCCAATCAACCAAACCTCAGGAAATCCATCAAGTCCATCATACTAATTATTCTGTGCAGCATTACGAGTACGTTGCCTCGGACGCCTACCACAAGATCCCGCGCATCACCCTCTACAAATGGGACGGCGCGCCCATGATGCCTCTGTACCTTGCCATGTCCACGCCGAAAATGCTACCCACCACAACCCTCAACCCTCTCGTGACGCAAACCCCTTCAGCCAAGAACTCGAAGCGCGGCGAACTACCTATGAACCACGAAGTGCTGTACAAGAGGACGCCTGGCGCCGCCAGGGCCGAGCAGTGGTGGTGGTTCGGCGTTTTTATGACAGCGGGTGGGAGTGTGCTCTACTACTTCTTCTAGAAGCGCAATGGACACTACGGCATTGAGGAATAGCCGTAGTTGGAGACGCTTGCACAACGCCATCACTGGATAAGGCGTACATCGGAGTTTGGCATATTAAATGGCACGGAGCATTTCTTTCTAATTGGATTCACACGACATGGTTGCTGGGCTGAGAAGAGGCGTTGGTGGCATCCATCAGACACGAGTCCTCAAAAACACCTCATGTTCTCATTAGCTAACGAGCGAGCGGGCGTAATTTGACCTTTGGAGAATCTGTAGACAAATCATCATGTATAGTTCAATACACTTGTTCGAACTCAGACAGATTTCTTGATCAGCGTTGCCTGCTATCGCATGCCCCGAATCTTTCAACAACAACACTGTTATCTCCCCCGCCCGATGGGGCCGACGTGAACAGATGGCCATTATCTGGTACACCGATTACGCTAGCCTTTTATCTGCACGGATTAGAGGATGCCCCAGCAACCAACAGATCTTGCTATCATTCTACATTCTCCAAGCTCTCTAGCTGCCGAAAAAACAAGTACTATCTTCTTGTGTTGATCGCTGCGTTTTGGTAACAATGTAACTGTGCAACAATGCTTCTTTTCAGATGAGGGGGTATCGTATATCGTATAAATCGTGATGCGTTATGCATGATGCTCGCTGGATATGGGAGGCTTTGCTCAAAGCAGTATGTATACAGTTGTTTTGTGGGATCCGTCGCGTAATTGTGACATTGACATTCCGAAGAATCGTATTGGTAAGCGTTTGTTGCGAATGGGTGGTGTTGTTTATCTATTTAGCGTAGGGAAGATGTAGTAAACCGTACAACGAGCGTTCCGAAAGGATTTTCTTATTGCTGCATAGTGTAGGCAATGGACAATGGATTCCTGACTTGCTCACAAGCTAGTGCTTACTCGGGATAAGTGGCGGGAATTAGGTTTTGGTCTTGTCTTCCTCCCCCTCAGAATGTGTTCCGTGTCTGCTTCCACCACCGAAACGATGATGCTGGTGTCTTGCGCTTTGGCTATTTCGAGTCTCGCGGTGCTGGCTCGTTTGATGGGGGACTTTTGTGCAGTTCTTTACGCAGTTCAATGCCCCGTTCCCGTTTCTGTCGTCTCTCCTCAATGTCGATTATCAGCTTCTTCTTTTTCTCTATTTTTCCCTTGTTACCTCCTTACAAACCAAATCTCTCCATCCCAGCTCGGAGATCCTCCTCGGTGCCTAACAAATTCATAGCCCATGGCGGTGGCCGCTTCTTCACCACATATCTTGTCTCTCCGTGTATTTCTTGTACTCTTCCTTGCTCCCTATTCCTTCCATCGGTCTCCTCTTCTTCCATGTCAACGCTGACTGCTTGAACCCGTTTCGTCCTCCTCTTGTACGGCGGCCCTCTTCCCATCTCTGCAGCCTTTTCCCAGGCTGTCTCACACCCTTTTGCGATGATCCCTGCACTAGCCCAACCTGTCCTCTTATCCGTTTCTAATAACCTGGTGATGAGCCACTCACGTTGTCGCGGATCCTGAAATGTAATGCCAGCGAAGAAAAGCGATAAAGTAGATTCTGTCAAGACTGCGCCAAGGAAGGGAGAGAGGTCCGAATCGATGGGCATCTGGAAACCAGCACATATGCGGCCGATGAGCATGCAGTATGGGGCTGTGGCGGATGCGCATACACCAGCCGCCATTTGAGCAGCGGGTGGCATACCCGGGTGAGATCGTAGAAGGATGATCTTGGAGAGGTGGATTATTGTCCATAGAATGGATATGTCGTAGCTTCTATGTAGAATAGCTGGGCCAAAGGGTGTCATGTTTCCTTGTTGACTAGGATATTCTCCTGGCGCTGGTGGGTAGGTGTCTTCTGGCAATGGTGCGAAGGCATCAGTCTGTTCCAAGACACGCACAACTGCAGTATGTGCATTGGTAATACTTTCCCATTCCAAAATAGCCTTCTCATATTCAGCAGGCAGATCACTATGTTGAGGGTGGGGCGCGTTTGGTGTCTGTGGTGAGCGTTCATAATTAGGGTTTTCGTAACTGGAAAGAATAGGTCCTGGTCCTGCTGATGGCGCCATTCCATAGAAGCTGGGCATAGCTGGTGGTCTAGGTGGACCACCCTGGGGTGGGTTTGCAGCCGACATAGACGGCGGTCCAAAACCCGGGGGAGGTTGCGATGGAGCCTGGCCTGTCCAGCCTGGAGGCGGTGGTCCCTTCCATCCTGGTGGTGGGCCTTGCATTTGAGGTGGGGGACCTGTAGAGCTCGTGGGCATCTGCTGCTGACCATGTGAACCGCCTGGGGGCGGTCCCATGTTCCCAAAACCAGGCATACCAGGGCGAGGTCGCCATCCACCGTCAGCTTCTATTTGTCGGAGTTTGCGACTACGGTCCCTAACAGTGAAGTCTGCGATGCGACCTAAAAGAAGGATAATATGGTCATGAGAGCCATAGAGAGCATCGGTTCGGCCAAGCGGGGCTCTTGGAGGGCAATCTGACCATTTACGATAAGGATTACTACTACCTGTCAGTCGCATGTTCTAAAAACCTACCCACGATACTCACATGAGGCGATTGCCACTGACGATGCTTTGATAAGCATCGTGTCTAGCATATGACCAATATATATCCTGTAGTGTCTCGTAGCTTTGCAGATCCAATTTCGCAGGTATCTTAGGCCTTGTGTCGTGCCTTGCGCCGTTATCTTCGAAGACCATTCCGAAATCGTCATAGTTGACACTGTTGCCAACAATCGTGCTCACAAGACTCTGATCTGGCATCAAAGCGCTGTCTTTGAGTCTCTGATCAAACTGCCTCTGATCGATGAGCATCTCAGGGTTTTGGTATGGGAAACTTCGTTCCATGGCAGTCTGAGCCGCTCGCATACGCCTCGCCTCGCGCGTTAGTGATCGGAAGTCGAGTTCAGTGATGAGGCGCTGGGCCCCGATAAGATGTGTACCCCATTTGACATGCTCTGCCGTCCAAACTTCGTAGAACGCCAAAAGCAAGGAGGTGGCTAACGTAAGGGTCGATAAACGTTTCTTAGGATTGCTGAGAGAACGGACGAGTCGTTTCAAGGAGTATGCATAATGTTTGTACGATGGTGTTATGGAGGCGCCTTGCAATCTTGCAATGTGCAAACTCGCGAGCGCTAGCATGGCGTGCAACAATCCCTGATGATTGAGAGCCTTCATAGGCAGTGTGTATGTCCAAAGACCCTGCTGAGCGGGTCGTGTAGAACCTTCGAAGATGAGGGTAGGATTTCGAGGGTTTCGTTCGTACATTGACAACGTTGGTCCGGTCTATCGGAAGTTAGTGGATCGTATGATTGTGAAGGTTTAGGAAGTTACGCGGCATTTGCAATGACAAGACAAGTTATGCAATTGTCTCTGTCACACTTACCACATGAATGTAGTGTGCAAAAACCCTCGCAGTCTTGGGATTGCGTAGAGGACTTGCTGCATATTCTGGTCTATAGTCCGATAGTAATCCATCATATAGAAATGCATCATACCGCCTTATCCCCAGCTCGTTGTAGTTCTCAAAGTGTATGCGACGGATGGTGTCGAATTCTTTGGTCGCAAGTAAAGCCTTCTCGTCCTCCGCGGTCTCCGCATCAAACATGTCTTCGTCTGACTGGACGTCCCAGTAATCGTCATCTTCATTTTCGATTGCGGCTTCGTCGAGAACTTGTGTAGGACTGACGTGGTCGTCACCGCCAAAGCCATCAAGAAGGAGTTGCGGTTGAGGTTGCTGCGCTTGTGATACGGCGTAGGGTTGTTCTGTAGACATAAAAAGTCAGCTAGATGACATATAATTCTACACAGTGATTGAGAGTAGCGTGCTGTTGCAGCTAGAAAGGACTGGGGATAGACCCAGAATTCAGAGGCATGCACAATTTTATGGAGTGACAGTGGACGAGGGCTTAGACACAGAGAAAATAATAGTAATCATTGGGGTATACGAGGTTTTAACTAGACACGAGACATACCGAGGACGGGCTGAGACATATACTTTACATCTGGGGTCATATCATGAATAGGCATCTGAACAGAAGGATAACTTGCATGACTGAAGTCAGCGTGAGAAACTGCTGGGTAGTTAAGATTTCCAATCTGGCTGAAGTTTGCCGGAGGTCCTTGTATAGAGTGCACAGGGGCTTGCGGGTGACTCTCATATCTTTGCACCCCTGGCGGTGCTTCTGTGTAATGGGGGTGTTGGTCGCTTCTAGGGGATACACTGGAATGATCCCGATAAGTACCTTCGGCTTGCTGGCTATCAGATCGATAGGCTTGTGGGTAGATTGGCGGAGGCTGAGGAACTGCGGCCTTGAGGTTGGATTCGTGGTTGTATGGGACCGAGACGGGTGGATATGATGCACTCTGGGTATATTGAAGGGGCGCTTGGTAGGTGCTGTGCGAATCGTGTCTAAATTGTGTTTGTGGACTTGTGTGCATTGTCGGAGGCGGCGGAAAATATGAAGCGGTTGGAGTGTGGTTATGTACTTGGTGGTTTGGCGATTGGAGCGGCTGTTGATGAAGAGGAGACGGCAGCGGCTGCTGATAAGCCTGCTCATGTGGATAGTTGGGGTTCCCTTCAGTGAAACCTTGTTGGGGATCTGAAGGCCCTGGGCCTGAGCTCGGGTCGATGTGTGAGAAGTCGTAGCTGCCATGCATGCGGGGCTGGATCGAACCAAGCATGTTCTCTTGCATAGCGGCAGCAGGCTCAGGCCCGCGATATGATTGGTTGCGTGTCCCTGGAAGCATCGAAGTGTGGTACTGGATAGTGCTGACCACGCCTGGATGATTTGGCCAATCTCCAATTGGGGGTTTGAAGATGACTCTCTGGTTGTAGCCCTCGCACTGACGTTTGGATTTGATGCAATTGGCGCAGGTAGGTCTCTCCTCACCACACTTTATGCGGCGTTTTCGACAGGTGAGACATCCAGTCTTGGTCCTCTTCCTCATCTTGGAGTTGGTTGCAGAACCCGAGACGCCTGTTGGTGAAACGTCACCCGAGGCTCCTGATACTGAAGCCGGCGCCACGTTGGTCATGGTTTGGAGGTGAAGAGTTGAGAGAGATGACAAGCGAGCCTGGTATAGCACTTAGTATATGGCTGCCAAAGATGCGTATAAGGGACATCAGGCTAGGTGGATGTCGTACCTAAGTAATCTTCGATCTCGAAGAATGGGGCACAAGATGGGCGGAACGATGTTGGTCCGCTTGGAAGCGGGTACGGCGGAGCCAAGAGTGATTAACCTCGCAGAAGTGCCGATCTGAAATAGGTGAGTCCTGCGGGGCGCCAGTGACTAGGCAGTCAAGCTTCACGGTCAACAGTGATGAAGGTGGAAGTGATGGTGTCGTCTTGTAGTAGATGAGAGGTCGTAGACAAGAACAAATCTACTCAGGGAAGTCGATCATTCAGCCCGCGGGAGCCATGTGGAGTCAAGGGCTTCAATGTTAGTTATAACGGAGTGGGGAGCACGCACCAGGTGTCAAAGGCCGCTGGGAAGGCCAAAAGGGGAGAGAGCGGCAAGCCCGCCGCCGTTCGTAGAGACGGAAGGCTGTACGTAAAATGATAGCGCGCCCACAGTACCTACATCAGGCATGGAAAGACCATAGAGAGCATGTATGTTCTAGACTAGAATTGAGACTATACTTTTCCGGGGAGCGACAAGGTACATGGGGGTTGGATTAGGGTGAGCAACTGGAGTCGGATGCAGAAACAGCGGGTGCGGACACAGACTTGGAGGTGTCCTAGAGGAGCAGGGCAAGAAGTCAAGTTTCGATTCGGCAGCTGTCGTGCGAGGTCTCATCGGAGTGCGTGCCAATGGACCGGGGGGTGGTGAAGGGCTTGCGCTAGGGGAGTGGGAGAAGAAATTTGGCGGCTGATCAGCGGATCTGATGCCGGGTAGGCTAATGAGGGGGTTACGATGTTTTGGTCAGGACGTGGGTTCCTGGCCGGTCTGCCCAATATAGACACACGACTGTCGAAGCGATGGGGGGTCTTTGGTTGCGAGCGTTGGAAGGTGGACGGCGGGATGACGGCTTGACAGGCTAACCTGCAATCCACCTGGCGCGCTGCCGAGTTCGGAAGCAGCCACGATGCTTTGCCGAGGATCCTCACCCTTCTTGCCATCACCCACTGCACATCGGCAAAGCAACCTCTTTGACACTTCTGCTCCACTCTGAAGGCGTGCTTTGTCTACTAGCCGCTTGGGCACCTGTCATCAGCCTCAATCGCGTCGAGGTTCCGCTTACGAGCGGAACCTGGGTGCAACGTGGGACTCGGGGGCAGCTGGCTGTGCTTCTGTCTCCACGACACGAACCTTATTTCTGCTGCCTACGCGCAAAAGACATTTCATGTGCGACTGTCCTTCACGCACACATCATCTCAGTCCATCAGGTCGACTGGCCCCAGCTGAAGCTGATTACTACTCGCCCTGTTTGACAGCTGTGGACATTGCACCTAGCTAGCCGCTATTGCTGCCAGGCCTCCGCGACTCCGCGCAATCGCCACGATGGTCTCTCATCAGGCGGACTGCTTCTGATACTTGGCTCTGTCACCAAGGAAGCTTCACTCAAAGAGGCATGGTGCTGATCGACTGAAGGCGTCGTCTCACGCGCCGCGACCTGCGCTGGCCAACGAGCTTAAGCATCCGCCAATCACCCTATACCATCAACCACCCTACCGGACCTTCTGTTCCAGTCTCGCGCGTTTGATTCACCGAGCACCCCAGGCATCTTTCGACGTCACCGGCATAACTTTTACTAGAATGGCCGCACACAGAGCATCCTTCGCGCTGGTGGCTGGCTCAGGGCAAGCTGAACGCAATTCCAACCTCCGCAACGATGATCCTCTGCCGCGTGGACCCGCGCTCCTGATTGCCAGACATGATTTTCGTCCAGGAATCGCGTGGACCCGGTAAATGGGCAACCATCAGCCTCTGATTGTGACAAGCTTAAAGCCATGAATCGCCCGTCGCCGCGCTCACACACCTCAAGACCCTACCTACGTACGCAGTCTATGGAGTGAAATGCTTGTCGGCGTCGGCGCTATGCCTCCTGATGCCATGTGCTGATGAGCAGCAGTCCACGGTGCCGAATGACGATCATGTGGGCTTTTATGGGGCTCGGAATATCTCTATTTCCAGTCATGGCCGCTGAACTTCGCATTCGAGATTGCGAGTACGGTTGCGACAGAACAGCCTCACCCAAAGCGCTAATGCAGCACCTTCACACCACGATTGCATTAGTGCTGCATTCATGTACTGACTCAGGGTTGGCAAAGACACAATTCTGCCTTGTTTTGTTTTTCAAAGTCAATGTCAGACGTTCACCGGGAGAACTGTCTACTGGTCCGCTCGGCACAACCACGGGTTCTTTCGCTTTTTAGTCCTTACGTCAAACGGGTCGTCGGTTCGACGGCAGCGGGTACTCACCCCGAAAATCAAGTACCAGTTGAAAAGAAACGGTTGCCAGTAAAAGCACTCGAATAGCCTTTGGCGTCATTATGAAGTCCCTACATAATGCAAGCAGGGGCTGAGCCCAAGTTTACCAAGGCTCTGGACCCGAGATGCTGCACCTTGTAATTTGGCTGCACAAGCAAACCACTTTCCGAGTCATCGGTAGCTCCCGATCATGGCTGTTTACGGAAGTGACCGAACTATAAAACCAATTTTAGACAAGGCTGTCCAAGATAACAGGCTGCAGCCAGCTTGATGAAGCTTGCGGGCTGGATAACCGGATTCGGGAAACCGACTGCAAAGAGCTACACCGGCCATGATCAGATGAATGCACATTCTGCAACGAACACAGGGGTTAATAGTGTTCTCTGTTGTGGCTTCCACGAGCGACGGAACAGCATTGAGCGCATGGTGGTAGGTGAACGGCGACTACTGAAGGAGCTTTACTCCAACTGGCGCGTCTTAGCGACCTGGACCCTAAATCCAAAGCTTGATTTCTACATGGGCTGATGCCATATCTACGCCTGTCATCCGTTTGCCATTTTCGACAAAGCGATTGACAGGCGCTCCCCACATTCGCTAATCCTTTCCGTCAGTTATTGCGAAAGGCACGTGATCTTTACGCAGACGCTGACGTCGTGGTTATGGGGGTGCGCACACGACTCGGCATTCAATAGCACATGCAGTACTCTGCGGAAGTCTCATCCTGATCCCCACGCCCTCGATATTGGTACCTTCGGTTGAGGCCCTTTATGATGCTGGGCATCAATTGCGGGTTTTCAATGCAGCATGCTCCTTGAATAGGGGCCGTTGCAAGGCCGTCGCACAAGAAGGAATTTGGTTCCCAAAGTGACCGGATCGCATGGCAGTCTCTTCGGCCATCACTATTGCTGGTAGAGTCCCGTGACGCCCAAAAGCATCTCCAAGAGGCAATTAGGTACAGGCTCAACCATCGAGGTAGTTCATAACATTTGCCGGCTATATACGACTATGCACCTGTTGCATTCCAAATCTTACATACAGCAGGCGAAACGTTCATAACGATAGAATTACAGCCTTGGTGCAGAAGTTGTTGAAGCTTCTTGCATAACCTTTCCATCTACAAGGAATCGGCCGCACATCTCATCATTAATACCGTTATATCAGGGTCCAAACGCCACGCTATATCTTCTTGCTTACTTCCCTCAAGTGGCAGCTACAGGACACCCACGAACCATCCAAGGGTTGCGAGCCTTGCGCAGGTACGACTCCGCTGCGACGGAAGCGCGTACAAGACTCTACTAGCGTAACGACGCCTGCAGCATACACCGCTTGATATTACATGAGGATAGTTGATCAGGGTGAACGCGAAGTTTTTCCGACGCCACGGTTGAACGCCACCAGCTTACACTTTTGCCTCACGCTTGGTGTCCGTCACTACCGCGTATGCGCATGGCTCTCTTCCAAAAACCCCGATTTGTCGTCGTCAGATCTAGTAACTAGCATGTTTCATCCCCAGGTTCCGGTGCGCGGGTTCCTCAGGGACGGGACGCATCCGAAGGATGCTTCGGTGTCTGACAATGATCGGCTACCCATGTCAA